CCTTATTACACATGTTTTTATATTCATCAATGTTCCTTCCAAGATGACTAATTCTACATTTAAAACAGGAACAGCTTCATTATTAAAGACTTGTCTTGGAAAATACACCTACATCATACGCTCACAAAAATTATGTGACTACTCTAAAGATAAAGGTTCTTTGTTTCCCAGATCCTCTTCTTTGAAGACTGAGACTTATACAAATATTGAACAACACTTAACATATGCAAAAGGAAGTAGTGGTAAGAACCTGCACTGTCAATTTAAAGGCACACAGTTCAATCCCACCAGATGCTCTATGACAGAAAGACAGACAATCTCCTCCCATATGATTTACTGACTGAAAACCCAACAACAGGTCAGCTGTGAAGTCTGTTCTGAAATGACAGTACATACAATAAAAAACTATATATGAAAAATTTAATTAAGATGTACATCTCATTAACGCACACTATTAATTCTACCAACAATAAAATGCCCGGAGAACATATGAAATTAGGTACCAAATTCTCTTCAATGTAGGAACTGTAATTCTTCATTTTTATCTTTAATAAGGGTTTTTGTCAAAAAGATTTTTTTGGGAGGGAGTGCATTTCCAAATTTAGAAAAGAAAAATCAATGGAGAAATGATCAATACAAGAATAATTACTTTACACAGATTCTCAGGGCTGTAACTGGCATGTAAGACAAGCCCATGCTGTCTTCAGTACTTCCTCTGACACATGGCTGGTTTTGTCCTTGTGAGTGCTTTGAAGTGGTGAATATTTCTGTATTAAGAGACACATTTTAACAGAGAATACAGTATCACAATCTTGACATCTGTTTCTTCAAAACTTCTTCAAAATTCTAGACATGTCATGATGAAAATAAATGGAGAAGCTGAGTGTTAAAAAGGAAAGAAGAGACACAAAGGGTAAAATAAAAATTTAAAGAGGAGGAGAAGAGGCCTGTTGTTGATGGAAATCTCACCAAACCCCTCAGGAAAGATACACATTATCAGATTTCAATACAGAGATTATTGCAAGCTTCCCATATCTAAGCACAGTGCCAACCATCCATTTCAAATGAGTACTGAATATCAATGTAAACTCAAGAAGCAGCCTGCAGGATTAATTGCATTTACCAGCACCTCCTCAAACATCATGCCAACAGTCAGTTTTTCACATAAGCTCTTAAAGCAAAGCCAAAAATCTGGCTGGCACTTACAAATAATCCCCAAGAACTGGAAGGGAGTTTAGAGATCATTGCATCCAACTCTCTCATTTTACAGATAAAGGAACGAAATAAAATCTAAGAGAGAGAAGGCCGCTTACCCACTGTCATAAATTCACTTTTATCCCTCAAAATAGTCCCTAGGGCGTTATACTGCTAACCCAAAGGTTAGCAATTCACATCCCCCAGTGGCCTCAAGGGAGAAAGATGGGTAATCTCCTTCCAGGTGATTTACAACCTCTGTAACCCCACTGGAGGGTCAGCTATCTCGCTCCCACTGGACAGCATTGAGTGAGAGACTATTTACTTAGCTGGGCCATGACTCTTGTATTCTGAGTGTGATGTTATAATGCGGAAGTTATGCAACAATCCCTCACAATCTGATAAATCAATCAGCTGTAATAGGATTAAGAGTGAGAGGTAACACTCCTAATCCTGTCAGGGTTCTATTCCCGATGTAAGGGGAGTAGCCCTGTGGTGTGACCTGCACATTTTTTTATCTTAGAAGAGATAAATGAAATGAGAGGCAAGCAGAGACAGAGGGACCAATAGCCACCAAGAGAAAAGAGCCAGCAACCATATTCAACCTTTCGCCGCAGGAGCCTGTGCAGAGAGGCTCCTCAAAACAGGGAAAGGCCAAGACACATGGAGCTAGCCAATGGGTACTGAGCCCACAGATTTCAAAAGGAGAAAAACCTTCTTCAGAGTCAACAGGGAGACAAAAAGACACCTTCCAGTGTCAAGAAAGAGACAAAGCCTTCCTCTAGAACCAGAGCCCTGAGTTTAGACTGCTAGTCTCCTATATTATTGTTGTTATTAACTGCAGTCGAGTCATAAATTACTCATAGTGACGCTATGAATGAAAGACCTGAGCACTTGTATAACTTTCATCATTTCTCCATGTTCACAGATTTCTAGAGGCACGTTATTTCGGAAGTGGATGCCACTCCTGCTTCCATGCTTGTTTTAATCTCCTATATTAGCAAAGAATAAATGTGTGTTAAACCCTTTCAGATGTGGGATTTGTTACACATGGATCATGAGACAACAAAGACAGCCATCATAACCGCCACCTCAGGACTAAATGCTCATGGTTTTCTGCCTCTCAGTCACTATTCTTTCTATTATGGCAAGCTGTCTATAAAGAAAGGAAGTAAAAGAGCTATGTGGTATGGCCAAGGATTCACTGTAACCACTTGATGAGAAGAAAGAGGGGCAATTAGGGCTGCAAGTTCCTGGGCCTGCAGTCAGGCTGTCAGTTTGACACTGGTCTCAGTCTACATCTGCCACAGCTTGCCAGATTTCCCACAATACAGCTGGATGTTCTCCCTGGAGATTTTGGTGTGATGTGGCAGAGTTTGATGTCTACTTGCTGGTGCTCAGGACGAGGCCAGGAAAGGTCACCCAGCAGTAAACTTCCGTACTTCAGAGAAACATAAGGCACCCCTCAGCCAAGGATGAGGGAAATGACACCTCTTTCCTTCCTGATTTCAAACCAACATAATATTTTGTGGATTTCATACACATGCCCAAATGCTATTACAACTAATAAGTAAGTTTCAGGCCTGTGGTTTCTACCTTCAAGTGTTTGCCCAGTCCTAGTATGTAGGGAAAATTTCAGACTTAGCCATTCCAAAACTCCCTAGCACATTCTATGGGAGTCACATTTACATGTTAATGATTACAGAGAATAAAAGGGCTAATAAATTTTTTTTAAAGTTTTGTCCAGCTATTTGGGGAGCTGTAATAAACAAAAGAGTTATATTCCATTCACCTACTACAAACACTTACATATTAATTTTAATAAAATCCTAGAATGTGAACTACTCTATCATCAAAACCACAAGTAAATGATCTCATTTTACTTCTTTGACAAAAATCTATCATGGTCTTCCCATTATTAGACTAAGGAAAAGCTCCTTGGGCAATTCAAAACTCCATGATAATTCAGTCTATATTTTACTGCTTCTATCTTCCTCTCCCTCTCCCCTCCCCATATACTGTCTACCATCCTAGTGAAGGTCATAGTGGTGATACCCACCTTCAGACTACATAAGGACCAACATGATTCCCAAGGAGTAGAAACAGATCCAGTCCTCAGCTTCCCACATCATTCTCACCACCAGAACTCACACATCACTCTCTTTCTCGGCCTCAGGCACCCAGAACCCTGTCAGAGCTCATGCATTGGAAAGGGCACTTTCTTTCAGACTGCTAAACAGGCTCTCATTGGCCTTGTAAGTTCATTATTTCACTGGGACAATTCACAGAATTCAGAGAGCATACCATACTAACGACAGTTCTATTATAACTAAAAGGGATACAAAGAAGTGCAGAGAAGGAGGTCTGGTAAGTGTCACAAGTTCTCATGTCCCAAAAAGGAATACACACAGTCACCAACCAGGAAGCTGCAACTGAATCTAAGGGCTTTTTCCACCCTCAACACAAGGCCATGATAAATCACATCATGCCAAATAAGGCTTGGTCAACAAGTGGCCACCAATGAACCACTGTCCTTGGGCCTCTTATCAGTCTCACCATTTGGCCATGTAGATTAAATCATGCCCTGTGAGGCTTAGTCAGCAACAGTTCTCAGGACATCTCTCTTGACCTGATTATTCAGACTCAGTCTCAAGTTAACTGAGAATAAAGGCCAAATGGTCTTCGGCAAGGTAACTCTACACCCCACATCTTCTCCAACCCTCATACTCTATGCCCATCACATCTACTAAAAAAAAAATCTCATTTTAGTTTTCCATATTCTACTTCTCAACAAGTGGGGAGAAATATTTTTCAGGAGAAAAATTAACACTTTGGCAGCTCTGGTGGTAAGCTGCACTGTCAACCCCAAGGCATGCGGTTCTAATCCACCAGGTGCTCCTCAGGAGAAAGATAAGCAATCTCCCCCTGCGTGATTTACTGCCTCTGAATATCTGCTGGAGGGTAAGCTATGATTCAGCTCGGACTCTACGCCACAACAACTACAACAACATGCAGGCTTAGTTCTCTTGAGCACTCCAGGTAGAGTGTATTGGCCTAGTGGCAAGAAGTTGTGTTGCAATCCCGAATACACACAGTTAGAGGCTACCAGCCTCTCTTCAGGGGAAGGATGGGCAATCTCCTCCTGCATGATTTATTGCCTCTGAAAACCTATCAGAGGGTCAGCTATCATTCAGTTCTGACTCAATGGTAAACAACAACAATAGCTTACTAAGTATATATACCTACCAAAAACAAACATCAATTAATTTTTTAATTTAGCATCTCTATCAAATTACGTGCATCTAGCCTATAGTACAACAATGTCTGGCACACAAAAGATGTATATAAAGACTAGCTAGATGGATTGGTAAGTAGAAGGAAAGAAAGAAAAGTCAGACACACTATTAGATTGAAAAGAAAAACATCAATCTTCTCCCATGTAATCTAGGATTTCTTCTCCTTCCAAAAAAAGGAATAGCTCAATCATCTTAATCTTCTACAATATCATAAATATTTGGCATGCATATATGCCTTTTTATCTTGCTGCTCATTCTTTTTTATTAAAACATTTATACAAGTTTGGATCAAGCTATTTTGTAGTTACAAGATTCTCTCACTAGCTGCCAGAAAATAAAATCTAGAAAGTAAATAGTCAACACTGGCCCCAGGTTTTCATTCCAGGTATTCCCAAACTGCTAATAATCTCCATTTACAAACCCCACTGAAAAAATGGTCTGAATTTTATTCCACAGTGTTAGTATCCCATTTGCCTGGATGTATAAGAGAATCACCGAAAAAGTACTTACAGCATAAGCGCCTATCAAAAATGCTGCGTTTGCTCGTTTCCGTTGGTCAAAACAGGTATAGTGCACTATTTTCTTTCTTGATAAACTGTAAGACTAGATACAAGGGAGATAAAGAGTTAGCGTGTTCACAGAGGCAATATTGAAACACACAGAAGATAAACGTTATCTTTCAAAAATTGACAATAAACTTCCCAAGATACCTCACAGTCAGTAAGCCTGAACTTCCAACCTTCATTCTACTGCACTTAGAAATGCGAATGGGAGTTATTAGCTCCAGCTTCTTACAGTCCAGTCATGATGTAAAAATTGACGGTATCATTCCCCCCAATAAAAGAGACTAATCCATTAAAAAATAATACAATTATTGGACTCTGTCCTGGCAAGAATCATTTTTCACAATTTCTTCTATTCAATTGACTTGAGATTTTAAATAGTGTATTCACCTCTACAGAAAAGTAACTCTCTACAGAAGTTACTTCTCTATTATATTGTTTATATTGAAATTTGTGAATTCGTCCATTTCCTTCTTCAAAAATTTTTAGATGTCTACACTAACTAGAGCACTAATATTAGAATACTCTAGAATAATTTATTTTAATATCTGAAAATAAATGAGTAATTGGGAAAGATGAACCATTGAGAGGATTCTATTAGCAAACATTATATCACAACATAATGGCCATACTAAATTTCAGACTCAAACATTATTAAGCATCTGCTGAATGCCAGGCAATATGCTGTATGCTCAGTTACTGAACTAAATCCAAAATAAGCAACATATCTTGTACACATGCTAAGGAACACGAACTGAGTATATAAACAAAAAGATCTGTTAAAATGAAACAAAATTATAAAACTCAAAATGAGTATCAAAAAATGAGAACTTGGATGTAACTCCGTGAAACTTGCCAATTTACTCGTTTCAAAATATCTGTAATATTATGACAAAATATGGAAACAAAGTAGAGATAAATTCATATTGACTCAAAAAACAAGTTTTATATTTTAACTGCTGGCCACACTCTGCAGAGAACACCTGCTTCTAGTACCTCTTTAAAAATGTAAATAGAACTCAATTGTGTATCTTTTATCACCCTGATATTTTCTGCAATAAAAAGCTCTTCAGTTCTGACTAGCTATGCTAATAAAACGACAGCTTTGGGCTTTCACATATAAACACAGAAAACATTAGCAGTGTGTGGCCCAACAAAGAGCCCGAAATCCTCATCACACAAGTTAGGTATGTATTTCTTTAATAATCAAGAATCATATTTTCTGAAAATGGTACAGGATTGCCCTTTTTAACTAAATTTTTTTACCCTTTGCCTCAAAGATAAGCTCCTAATACCAAGGTTCTTATTTGTTAATTAAAATATTCTGAGTTGGAATCCATTCAACAGCAAGTAACATGAAAAAATAAAACATGTGGGGAGGAGTGTAAAACACTTAATATTCAACTCGAGGAGTGTATAACACTTAATATTCAACTCAACACAGTAAATTTTATGCACTGAAGATATCCAAAGTCTTAAAGAGTCACGGTCAGTGGTGATGTAGGCCCTTGTCTCTCTGATGTCTCTCAATTTGCAACAGCTGATCCAGCAGCTGCTCCATGGGAGAAGGACGGGCCATCTCCTCACATGCAACTTAAAGCCTCTGACAACACACTCATGGGTTGTTCACAGGGTAGCTATGAATTGTAATCAACTCAATGGCTCCTAACAACAACCTTTCAATAAACCCTTGCTGCTGTACTATTAACATTGTAGTTTGGACTTATCTTCTGGTATTTGCTTAATTTTTGTTCTATTTGTTTATTTTCTTTCTCTCATTCTAACACTCATTGCCATGAAGTCGGAACCAACTCATATTGATTCTCCATTGGATGTCCAAGGCTATAAACTGAACCCAAAGAGATTGTGTGTCTTTACCCCTGAGAACCACAGGTGGTTTTAAGCCACCAGAGGAGCATGTGGAGATCAGACAAGGGCAGAAGCCTAAAAGCTAAAACACAGAAGTCAAAGGGAGGAAAGCTCTGGTGGCCCAGTGGCAAGAAGTTGCACTGTAATCCCAGGGGTACACAGTTCAAATCCACCAGATTCTCTACTGATTTGGCGGTACACACACACAAAATAATTAAAATAAAAAAGAAGTCAAAGAGAGATGTATTCTCATTGTACAGATTTAAAAAAAAATAAGTAAATATGATACAATTAAGAGCTCTGGTGGTAAAAAAAAAGAGCTCTGGTGGTGCAGAGCATGATGTACTGAGCGTCTAACTAAAAGGTGGTGGGTTCGAATGCAGTAGTGGAAGATGAGTAGTCTCCTGTAAAGATTCATGGCTTTGAAAATCCCATGGCCTCAATAGCAAAGAGTTTAGGTTTTGGTCTTCATATCGAAATTAATAATTTAAGGATTTTAGAATTTAATTAAGAAATTTTAAAATCAGTTAAAGAAAAAATCAGTTCACAAAAATCTACCCCAAAAATTCTCCTTTTAAAACATCCCTATGGAAAAGCAGCCTACAGGAAGCAAACATAATTGACTTTACTCATTTTTTTTCTTAATGGGAGCTTCCTGCCTGGTTTTGGGGAAAGATGGTAATGCTCATAGAACCTCCCTTGCTTCAATGTTTTTGGAATTCAAATGTTTTCTTAATTAAGTTTCAAAAGCACTAGAGCCAAGAAATTATCTTCTGCTTAGTGAAGCTTGGCCAACATCTCCTAGTCAGATCACATGGTAGAGTTCTTGCTCAAAGAATCAAAACTAATTCAGCGTGAAATCAGAACAGAGAAATCTTACATATTACAGGCCGTGACCTAACTTCCCTCCTTGATAAAATCAAGGCCCACATCCACAATTTCATGGAGCATATTTATGCCAGTATTCTAGTACTGGAATGAAAAAATTCAGGAAAACTAACCATTTAGTCGATGGGTTGTTTGATGTTTTTATATTATTAAGAGGTAATTTTAAAAGCCCCTTTAATATTTTTAATATTTTTTTCTTTCAATTAAGTACATCTGCAGTGTTAGCCTAAAGGTTGCTTTTTTTTTAAGTCATTACCTTAGCCTCCTCTAGTGTCCAGCCACCTTAACTGCAGATATATGATCTTGCAAATCATCAACAGCTGTGGGACTAGGATAAGAGAGTGCTTCCCACACTGGGTAGCAAGACTTGAAGAAGATTAGTGCAAGACCCTGGTGATGCTGGTGGAGAGACTGTAGCAAAGTGTACTAAAAGGAGCCCTGAGATAAAGGCCACAGTTAAAGGATTTTGCTCTTCCTGCCTTTGATAATGGAAGGAGAAGCTGCTTGCTGAACTGGAACTAGAGCCTGGACTAACTGAGGAATTGTGCCTTTCAACTGCTGAGCTAAAACCTGGACTTGTGAGATAGTCTTTGCTACCTCATTCTCCAACTTATTTCCCCAATAAACTCCATTCTCAGTACCATAACTATGAGTAAAGTCTGTGAGTCAACAACAAATGAATGAACCCCTTGTTACTGGTGTGGTTCTAGAGACACCATGGGGCTGAGTTAGGGGCTTTTTATCTGCTTTCTGGTCAGGGGGCATTGAAGGACTGTGCTGTTCTCACTCCATTTGACCCTTGCAGAAAGATGCTTACAGCCCTGTGCCTTCATGTCACATTTTCTGCTCTCTGGACAACATCCCTCCATTTAATACATATATATATTGCCTATCAATTCACTATTGTCAAATCAATTCCAACTCACAGCTGACTTATCACTGGGTTTCCAAGCCTGTTAATGGCACAGGAAGAACTGCTCATCTTTCTCCCAAGGACAGCTGAGAACACACAGACTTTGGTTTAGTGGTGCAACCCCGGAAGGAAATACCACCAGTGGAGGCACTAATGACTAAAGTATCCTTTATGTAGCATTTGCTCAGCTTGCAGATCTTTCAGGGAAGACCTTTACCATGAAGAAAAAGGCTAAGTGTGAAGCCTCAAAAACCTCAAAGTTCTTATCAAGTCTGATTCAGCTTATTAACTGCCTCTCTAGCAGGTTTCCAAGACTGTAAATCACACAGGAGAAGATCATTTTTCTTCCTTCGAGATGCTGGTTGACTCAGACCTCCAGAAAGACATGGATGGCTCTTAGGTTAGCAACACAACTCATTAAAAGAGCTACGTTGCCAGAGCTCCCTTGGAGACAGTCAGAGTCTACTGAGTGATGAGCCCACTAGACACTGTGTTAAATTGTGCCCTCACTCCAGGAGAACACCATGACTCGCTCAATAGTCCCTCCCCCTGCCTCCCTGGCTGGGGTAAACGTGCCAGGCCCTTCAACTAGAACCCCTACAAAGTAAGTGTATTGACCTATGCTTTTTATGATCTGTTACAAACTGTTTTCCAAGAACATCTCAGAGATTACAGAAGCACCACATACAACAGCAAGGTTAAATTTGATATTGGCAAAATGAGATAAAAAACAAATTCTTAATTATAAAAGGAGAAAGTCCATTCTAAATCACAACCTATGGCCACTACTCACTCCATATTTTAGATTTTTTATCTTAAAACTAGAGTCTGGAGCCTTCTGAGCCCTCTGATGTGAGCATAGCCACACCTCTCAGACAACAGCAAAAAGAACACCTGCAAGAACAGTACCATTTACTGGTCACTTGCCATCGTCCATCATTTCCCAGACACTTGATAGGAAAATGCCAGAAGGACCCCAATTTGACTGATCTTCAAATGACTCCCAGACCACTGCTCCAGGAAAGGTGAAATACCATGAACACACAACATTTACCAAAGGAGCAGAGACCAAGAGCCTGCCAGGGCCTGCTGAGAACATTAAAGGGCTGGCATGACAGGCCAAGAGGAATCCAGAGCTCCACCTCCAACTCACAAGCATGAAAATATGTGTAAATCTCAATTTACCAAGGTCATGGTTCAGAACTTAAATAACTCTCAGGATGAATCACTATAACTTCCCAGGAAAACGGGGGGGGGGGGGGAAATCCCTGAATCTGAATGTAAAGCTACACTATATCATATTTTATTTCATATCTTCCATTCTCTTAAGGCAGTGGTTCTAGAATCATCTGGGGGGCCTATCACACCAT